CCAGCCATGGGGGTCACCTCCCATTGATGCAGAGGCAGACCTCTCCCCCTTGAGGCCCAGGGGACACCTGGCTCTGGTCCCGCCTGTGTGCCCTGGACACGCAGAGCCCCAGAGCTCTGGCACAGCCTGGGGTGTGGTCGTGTTGGGGCAGGGAAGGCCCAGGGAAGGGGCTCACTCAGGGGCAGGGGCCACTCTGCAGGGATGCTGGACCTGGCAGCGATGTGCTGCTTCTGAACTCCCCTGGACTGGGTTTCCAACCAGTGAGATGGAAGGGCCTCTCCTTCCTGGGGTGCAGTTGGGAGAACTAGATCCATCATGAATGTCAGCCCTGAAAATGGAGGCTCCACTACATCCATTCCTGAAAAGAAAAATCAGGCCCCTCCAGTCCAGGTGACTCAGAAAGTCATTCAGCAATGTTTGGGGTCCCCAGTTTAGGCTTTGAATTAGAGCTGATTGGCTCAGGAGGCCAGATCCCTGTCCGTGGCTCCAGGAGTAGGCTTTCTGCTGGGGGACACGATCTTCACAAGATGTGAAGTCTTTGTGGGACACTCCCCTTTAACCAGCTGGGAGGCAGGGTGCAGTTGTGGGAAATTGTGTTTCCATGAGCAGAGGGCCATCAAGTGGTAGGGGCACAGGAGACAGTGAGAATGAGTCCCGTAGCCTTTCTGGAATCAAAAAACTGGCAAATGTGAAAAAGTGCATGATTTGTTTTATTGAACAGGCTGCTTATGTGCATTTGGAGGGCCAGATTCAAGGACTCTGCATCCCTCCAGGACAATAGCCTCAAGAGAAGGATAGACAGAATAGGAGGAGATCTGGGGTTTCTCCCAGGAATGAGGCAGAACAGAGATTTCTGCAGATTTGCAAGGAGACCCCGACCACTGAGCATGGGGTTACAACCCCACGTGACCCCTGTCGTGTTTGGCTTGGGCTCTGGGTCTGGCTTGATCATGTATTCTTCCAGAAACTCAGAGGGTAGACTTAGAGAGGCTGCGTTTGGAACCTGGTGAGGAGGTGGAGGGTCCTTTATCCTGAGTCCCTTCAGCCTAATCACTGTAGCTGAGGCCAAACATCCCCCAGGTCCTCAGGGTGGCTGTGGAGGGAGAGCAAGCCTGGCAGGTTACCCAGGGGTCCCACTGCTGTTCCCCTCCCTTGCCTTTGTTCCCTTTCATCCTGGAAGGTGTGATTGTCTCATGTCATGGTGGCCACCGCAGTGTCCCTCCCAGCAATCTCTCTTCTCCGTCAGGTGGGGTTCCCACCCCCGCTCAGCCTTCTCTCTGCATGGATGCTGAAGGACCAGGCTCACTTGAAGTTCTGAGCTTGAGCAGTAAGGTGGAAACAAAGAAACCAATGGAAACAAAGAAGCAAGTGATTGCGGCAAAGCTCCCCACCACAGAGAAGCTGCCCTGAGTGGAAGGGAGGGTGTGGGCATGCCCATTTGTTTCCTATCTCCCAGTGCTCTTAGCTTTCTTATTGCAGACCTGCATGGTTATAACAAAATGATCTGCAAAATTGACAATATTTTCTCTCTGGCTTTTACAGAAAAGGCTGGCCAGTGTCTGGTCCCTGTACCAGGCAAGTAATTGGAGTTCCTTTCCAGTTTGGAAACATCTGGGCAGGCCCAGGTTTGCAAAAGTCTTTAAGAGTAGTTACGGAATTTCACTTAGAAAAATTTTTATGGCTGTATACTTCTGAGCTGAGGTTCTGCTGTGTAATTCTGAGCCGGGATTTTCTCAAACTGTTTCTCACTTCTTACACCGGACATCCCTATATTCCAAGGGTAACTGGATATTAAGGAAGCCATGGAGTTTAGGAAAAGGATACAGATCTCATTTCCTTTTAAGCATCGGTGTACCTCCATCATGGCAGTATTGGTTATGTGTTATTGATAGGGTAACTAAATAGTAACCAAATTTATAGAAAATAGTGGGTCTTTAGGTGCACAAGTTCATCTTTTCAACATTTTTTGTAATGTTTTCAGTTTAAGATGACCATTCCTGAGAAACAGGCATCCTGTTAGAATGAAACAGCATTTTCCCTGAACCATACTTAATTTTTATTTTGTAGAAAGCAGGAAGGGTAATCACACATCACACATTTGGGGACCTCAAAGACAAAATGTAACTTTCTGGGAGCACACACCCCCCATCTCCCCCTGCTCTTTTCTCTGTCCCATTCTCCCTGAAGTCTCTTTCATATCTTCTGCTCAT